TATAATTGATTAAGAAGGGATGGTGTTACTTTAATACCTTTTAACTTAGTTTAGTCTTATTTAATAGATAAAATACATTCTTTAACAAAAACAATTCAAGAATGCCTATCGTTTATCTAATTCTCATCTAGCCAGTTTGAACAAAAACCTCCATGGACCACCATAGATTAAGATTGATTTGACAGAAATATAGCAGAAAATTAGAGATTTAGTTGTGCCAGAGGAGCCCAGCAGGTGGTAAAGCAAGCACACTTGTTGGGTCTACTCTCATGATTGATTGCAAACAAGATTAAGGAGAGTATGATGAGAGTTCAGGATCACTAGAAGCAGAAAAAGAAGCTGGGCTAGTGGGGTGTTCATGAGGGAATTTAGTGGCAAAAAACAACCATATGAGATGAGACGTTACTTAGATGGTTCTGTGCAATGCTGAGGTTTAGATAAAAAAGTAATATTCTGAATGCACTATGTGACAGTAATGTTGTGGATTTGGCTGCACAACCTTTAACAGCAGTAGAATCAGAAACTACGGATGGTACTTCAGAGATTTGCTTTTCTAAATGTTAGAAAAATTAAATGTGTTTATATATGTGTTTAGTCATGAGACATGGTTGGCGTAAAATTTGGCTCACCTGACTAAAGCAAAGTTTATACAAAAACAAATAAAACATGCCTAAGGAGACTGGTATGCATGCTTGATAGTTGGGTGACGTTGGATACACTTTTGGCGTAAACAATTAAAAAAAGAAAATTTGTACTTTCTCTTCATTTTCCTTGCTGAAATAAATGAAAACAATCATTTTTTTCCTCAGATGCAGAGGCAGATATGATACTTTGGAGCAATCACCAATTTTAGAAAGTAGTGATATGCACCTGATAGACTCTTGAAGCAGGGAAGTTTCCAATCACAGACTGCAAAGTTCCTCTAGGAAGATCCAATAGTTGCTGCACAGTGTAAATTCCTCTTTTGCTTAGCAGGCTTATGAGATCAGTATTCATGCATGGCAACATCCACAGGCAGACCCTGATCAAACCACATACCCTGAAAATACACAAAATATGTCATGCAGCAAGAACCAAGAGTAGTGTTTTTTTTTTCCCTTTTTTTTTTCTTTCTAGCAAAGAAAAAATTAAATAAAAGGATAAACCCTCTAAATAAACTGGGAACTTGATATTAAGAAAAATTGGGATGTAGACAATTTAAAACAACTAGAGTTGCTTCGTCTTAGACTACATTGGAAAAATAATAAATGAATTACACAAATTTTAAAAATTTTGCTGGCAAATTATAGGATAAATAGAAAATCCAACTTTCAATGTCAATAAAGTTTTATAGGTCCAAATAATTGAACAAACTTATGGCAACCAAGAGATCAATGAAGGGATACGTAAGCGACAAACTACATGATTAATTATGAATGGCCAACATGGATTGGCTATCTATATTATTCTTCTAAAGGTCCATATCCATGGAAAAGCAGCACAGCAAGCAACATCTCAAATGAAATAACAAGCCTTGAAAGCTGGCTGGAAATCTGGAGATGGAAGACACTAAGCTTGAACAGAGATCTACTAAGACAATGACATAAATCTCTTCATATTTTGGAAGTCATTGAGCTTTACTACCTAATAATTGGATCTTCCTAGCATATACAGAAAAAAGAATTCACAAATGGAAGACAATGAAAGAGAAGTACCTGCATTATCATTTGCAAAAGATGCATGCATGTAATTGAGCTCGAAAGCCATCCACTATTAGCACATATATCTATCATTGCTTGGATGATGCGAATACTTTGATCTAACACTGACTTCAGATCCGTTATATAGTCACTGATTGGTAACTCTAACTGAGAGAAATATGCCTGCATTCCAGAATTCATTAATGAAAAATTATAAAAATAGGTAGTCAGGAGAAAGCAAATAAAGAAATAAAAAAATGGGGAATCTTTGGTTTTGATCAAGCTAAAAGATGTAATAACAGGGACTTGAACCTGAAATAAGAGATTTGCTTTAACATGAGGATCATCAAGGCGATTCTCATCCACCATATATCTAACTTTCTCAGATAATGCTTTATTGTAGTTTTCCTAAAAAAGAAACAAACACAACAATGCAAAAAAATAAATATTTGTTGATCCATTAAGATAATTTCACAAGAGCCCATCATTCCGAATAGAGAATTAACAAGCATGCAAATTGATGAAAAATCAGGATTTAATTAGTGTTTGAACAATAAAATAATTTTGGATGTCACAAGAATCAGACTAATGAGACATATTCCCTTCAAATTATGTTCTGCCAACTTATCTATATTCTAAAGTACCTGCATTGTGCATTCACATAATTATGATAAGTCCACAAGCTCGTGATGAGACAAATAGAAAAGATGTAGCGGCTAGCAAAGATATCATATTGTTAATGCAGAAAGGGTTCAAGGCAAACATCCTAGGGCAGAAAATTAATAAAATCAAAGGAGCTTAAAATATAAATTACAAAGGGCCATAAGTCAAATACTTCCTCAAGAAAATACAAGTTTAATACCAAATGCCTCTTTTCAGGAATCCTTAATATATGAGACTATACAGGCTCATAGGACATGGATGACTTGACACTCGCTAATAGAACTCAAAACTCGGCATGATATGATGTGCCAGCCAGCATTTGCAAATGTGACAATTCAAATATCACAATTTTGCGGTCGACACAAAATTGAAATGCCATGTCTTTTAGCTAAAAGAATACAATGTGTTGGTATTAAATCTTACACTCTTGCTAATTGTACTCGTTAATCCATATGTTTTCTAGTAAAATTTCCTTTATACCGCCTGTGCATCTTTTTTGAAAAAAAAAAATTCCTTCCTAAAGGTCAGTTGGAATATTTGATATAAAACTTCTAAAGTTTTATAGTAAAATTTTAGTTTATTACTAAATCTACAGATCAAGCTATTTCATGTTATAAACTAGCTTATTTTTATTAGCTGAAGTGTTGAATAAATATATGAATTAGTATATTTCATAGAGAATAAGTTATTTGGAATAATTAATAACAAAAGAACTTGTTCTTATAAGCTTTAAAATAAACAAACCAGAACACAATAAACAACACCATGCAGTAGATACGACGCGTGGGCTGACAAACTGTTTCTTCTCATGTAGCAAGGTGAAGCATGGCATAACAAAATTTCCAACAGGAACATAAACTGGTAGGCACAATAAAGGTTGACTGTGCCAATATAGCACCGTGCAGTGTGATTAACATCTTTTGATGTGATTTAAGTACCAAGAACTCAAAGAATATGAGAAAAAATACCTACTGAAAATGGATCACTTTTTCTTCCGTTCATTCCGAGGAAGTGCATGATTACCATACCCCTCTTCGATAAAAGTAGATACACAGAATCACTTTAAACAAAAGAGTCAACTAGGTAGATGTGTCCAAGTACAGAGAAAAAAAATGAAGGTTTAAGTCTTTAATGGAGATGTCCATTTTATGGGAATAAATGAATATGATAAGCTAACGTAGGGGTCAAATGCATCTGTACATGATATTTGACCTCCAATTCCACAGATACTCGGACATACTAAATAAGTCTTACTATACTGCATTATCCTTGAGATGCAACTATAAAATATTGAATAGAACATAATAAAGATTTTGAAGAAAATAACTTTATTTTCTAATATACTTATGATATTACAATCAGGATATTTATATAAAATTTCTATATTCGAATAAGGAAATTTACATTATTATAGAGATTCTAATTGATTCTATTAATTAATTACATCATTATAAAGGAAAAAGTATCTTCACTAATGAGACAATGGAATATTCTAATTAGCACATCTTCTCAAGTTGGTGCAAAGACATCACCCATGCCCAACTTGCAGATTAAGTTATGGAAAGATTTATTGTAAAGTTTTTTAGTAAAAACATCTGCCACCTGTTCATTAGAAGATACATGATACAGACATAAGTAACCATCAACCACTTTCTTTTTTATAAAGTGTGGATCAATCTCAATATGATTTGTCCGATTATGTTGAACTAGATTATGGATTATGCTACTGACTGCTTTATTGTTATAAAATAAAGATAAAC